AGAAAAGAAGATATGGATGAAGCAGCTTACCTAGTATGAGAAGAAGTCATTTGCGCAAAAGTAATTGTTTTAGTTTTGTTTGACATAAAATATAACATAAAAATGTTGCTCAGTTCTTCGTGCTGGGATGGTATATAAGCCGCAAGGCGAACGGTTGGATAACCTCAACGCAATGGTTCGCGGCTACCTTCTAGTTTTCGTAAGTGCTAAGCCTACTTTACATGAATCCTCATACAAGGATTTCAGCTGCTGACAATTCCGGGATTTTCTCATGAAGAAGTGAATAGATGCTCTCAGCTGGGCGATAATGCTCTTGGCGTCTCCGAAAGAGATCAGTTTATCGCGGCTATGGATCCTGGCGTAAGTACTGCATTATTTGCAACTCCGAACAATTCTTCCCATAAAGAAAATATTCACAGGTCTAAAATAATCAATGAGTAGTATTCGAACTCCTACTCTGACATTCATTTGATATTGAACGTTTGAATATAATGTGTATCCGAATACTCGATTGATTGGATATCATTCGAAAGTATCGAATATTGTGATAATCAAATAAGCTGTCATATGTTTTCATCTATTTAAATATAGAAATCGAGTAACTTTTTGAATCTTGCCTGAGGGTTTTGAATTTTTAAATACTCTTAAGAAACATGATTCATTTCAAAATTCCAACAAAACACAAGTTTCAACCGTATTATTGTTGGTTTTCTATATGTTGGAGAATGTCCCTAATTGTGCCGACCTATGGTGACTCTCTCAGGAATTGATTTCTCAAATGTATTAGGTTTTTGTGCAGTGAAGGAGGAAGATGATCGAATACTAAAACACCTACTTATTTTAGGGATATGACTGTTCTTTTGAAGCACTCGCCAAACTGATAATGAAGAGCTCCAAAGATGCGCAAGGCATACCATATGAACTCGACCTCAAGGGTCGTCCTTTTGAAATGGAGTAAGACTTGCTACACCTACATACCGAGCAATATGTCAATAATGCATTGATTTTAGCATAGAGCCGGATTCAGAATGCGATAACGCGTATGTAATCAGAAGTGCTCTATTGATCTGGAAGAAAATGCCAGGCGTAAGGAATTGCTATCGTTCTTCTCTATTTTTTTTTGCGATACAGCCATTTTTTTAGTTAAAACCTTGGGATAGGTTCGGATGCAACCTTCACAGAAAAGCTAACAAATGCAAGGCCTTTTGCGTTTATGAGGAGAAGACAAAGACGTTTTAAATGGTACCCTGGATTCCATTCAATGTCTA